ACATTAAGGACTAAATATATACAAACTGAAAAATATATTACCCTGTTAAGTCATTTTTCTGGCTTAACATAGAGTAGATGGTTATAAGAACTAAATGTGGACAAAAAAACAAGTTAAATAGTCAAAAATGGAAAAAAACCATCAGTGACCAAATGTGTACAAATCAAAAAGTATATTATTACCCTTTTAAATCATTATCCCTAATAACAATTATAATTAATTATTAGACCGGAGGGTCTACGCACTACTCACTATTCACTTTTTGTATGCTACATTCACTTTTTGTATGCTACATGAGCTTTCCACTCACTCACTTTTCACCCACCAAACGTCAGAAAATGGTCATCTTTCACTATTTTTTTTATTATTCTTATTATTTTTAAATATATTTTATACAGTTATTATACTTGTTTTGTAGGGAATTAAAAACCATAAATTTTAATATATATATTTTTTATAATTTTTTAGTATATATATTTACCTAAAGCTTAAAAAACGGAAAAAAAGAAATGAAAAATAAAAGTAAATACAACAGCCAATGAAATGAAGAGAGATGGAGCGGGGAAAATACCCCTCACCTCTACCTCGCACTGCCTAAACTGCACCCAGAGTGTGATGTTCTTAGGTGCGGTTCATGTATCCCTCATCATTCCCACTGATACACCCTCCGACCTTATAGTATATATATGGCGTAGAAACATTATTTTACATGTATTTGATATTTTTAGTTGTGGCGTAAAATTATGTTTCAATGATTTAAAATCATGGTTTAGGCAATGGGGTAGGATTAGTATGCATATTGAACATCATACGCACATGTTTCACAAGTGGCGTCAAATTGTAATGGATATGGAAGAAGGCTTGAGATTGATTGGGAACTTGGTAGGGGCTAGGTTGAGTATTATTTTGGAGTTGACAAAAATAATAGTTAGGTAATGAAAATAGAAAATGACTAGTTATTAATAAAGTGAAATAATAGAAGATAAAATAGGGAAAATGACTTAAGAGGTAATCATTTATTTGGTTTGTTTTCATTTGGTCACTTTTTTTTATTCAATATACCATTTAATTTGTTGATTGCGTTCACATAAACCATTGTGACCGGCTATCACATGTTATTGAAGGTTTCCAGTGTCTTTGTCCTCTCCGGTCACCTTCTCCTGTGAGATTCCGATGAACATGAATATTCCGGCGAGTTCTATGTCTGAAATCAAATAAGGAAAACAAGGATCTGTGTGTGCCAGTGTGTCGGATCTGAGAAACTCAAATCTGATGGGAACCTCTTCATATCTCCAAAACATATATAATACAAGCGGAAATCGATTTGTGTGTGTAAATGTGTTCTTTTTTTTTGAAAGAGATGAACGTGTTCGTTTGAAGGTTCATCGATGGAACTCAAAAGTTCTTGTGTTTGTTTGTTTCTGGAGAGGGAGACTTGAAGATCGATTCAAGCAAGAGAAAACATATAGATTAGTCAAGATCTGCAAATCGATTAGGGCTCTTCTTCTCTATTTTCCAGATCTGAAAATTGATTCAAGGAGAATACCTACGATTCTCTATTTTCCACACACACACACATCTTGTTCTGAAAACGATTTCAGTGTTCGAGTTCTTCGTTTATGCTTAATTTCTGGGTTCATGTTCAAGAACACATAGAACACATAACGGGTTCATGTTTAATTTTTGGGTTCATATTCAAGAACACATAGTGTGTTCATCCGCGAGTTTGAAGGTCCAGAAAGCAAACAGTTGGTTGAAGTGTGTGTCGGGTCTTAGAAAACAAGCAGGTTTCGTGTTCGAGTTCTCCCTTTCCTTTTTCTGAACACGATTTGTTAAGCTCGATCTTGGATCTGGAAGGCGTTTCAGTTTTCAGTCACAAACACGATTTCAGTTTTTGATTTCGATCTTGGATTTTGCCATCTTGTTCAAACGAAAACCCTAAAAAAGAATTTCAGCTTTTGATTCTCATACACAAACACAATTTCAGTTTTCAGTTTTCATTGTGTGTGGGTTATGATGTGATAATGTTCAAGAGATTTTCCAGATTTGACAAACAAGAACATTTGCTAATAACTCGCCGGAATATTCATGTTCATCGGAATCTCGCCGGAGAAGGTGACCGGAGAGTCGCCGGAGAGGACAAAGAGACCGTAAACCCTTCAATAACAGGTGATAGCCGGTCACAATGGTTAATGTGAACACAAACAACAAATTAAATGGTATATTAGATAAAAAAAAAAGTGACCTACTGAAAATAAACCAAACAAATAATTACCCTCATAAGTCATTTTTCCGATAAAATATTATACATTCGTTATAGAGGAGTGGAAGCATTTGTATGTGGTCTAGTTGCCATTTTTTTTCTCATGCCCCTATCAAGTTCCGCCAATGTCAATATTAACACTGTATACTAATTTAATTAAGATTTTTGTATTTTAGTTATCAAGATGGCAACAACTCATCTTAAAAAATATTACATTGTGTTGCATAGATACTAAGGTGATGTTTGTTGTTTTTAAAAAACCATTTCTGACCACTTATTGTTGCGTCGCGCAGCACACACGCAACATTTGGCCATTCGTAGGCCGCATCTGTTTGTTTTTCAGAAGACTTCTGACTTAAAAACTGTTGTGCATGTGTTGCGTGACGCAACACTTGACTATCTGCTTCAAACATTTTCACATCTTACTTTAACTTATGTGTTGTTTGTTTTTTTGGAGGCAAAATGTCTGCAGTCCGTGGACCATATCTGTAGAAATCTGCAATAAAAGAGGTGGACCAAACGTCTGCAGTCTGAAAAAAAAAGATTGTTTGTTTTTTTAACATCTGCAGACTACTAAAATAAACTAAAATCTAAATAAACTGATTTTTTTTAACTTCAAAATGATTTTTTAAATATTTTTTATGACTTTGTTATAAATAATTAACAAATCTACATCAACTTTTATGTATTATTGTACAAAAAGTGAAAATAAAATGGTACGAATTAACGTATATATTTGATAAAAACCAACAATTTTGATCGCAAAGTTAAACCTAAACATTGTAATTAGAAATCAAATAATTTGACACATAAATGGATGGAAATAAACTTCAATTTTTTAATTTAAATTAATTAAAAACGTACTATAAATATTTTCCTAAGAAACTAACAATACTGTATTAAATATAGTTTTATAAAATTTGGCACACAAAATATAAGAATATATTATGATTTTTTTTATATTTATATAAACAGTTTCAACGACCATTATTGTAATAAATCTTTATTTATAAATTTGTCAAAAATGTTATGTTTGTGTCGTTGAACCTTTTTTTTAAAGTCTTGTAATCTTTTTTTTTTCTAATTCTTTATTATTAATAAAGTTGGAATAAATATAAATTTTAAAAAAGAAAACTAAACAAAATAAAGATATATGTGTTTTTTTAGGATAGAAGATGTCTGAAGATGTTAGAAGACTCTGGTCCATATCTGCGCCAAGAAGAGGGCGCACATACATTTTTAGGTAAAAAAAAATTTGAACCGACAAATACAAATATTATAATCTACTCCTAAACTAATACCTAATTCCACCTATGTCCACCACGAGACTTGAACCATCGACCTTAAAGAGGGAGGGCACCACCTAATACCGTTGGGCTAGAAGCCCTTTGGGACTGTCGGTAGAAATTAAGTCCATCTATCTTCAATTCTTATATACATTTAAAAAAAGAAAGATTTTTTGTCGATCAAACTATTCATTATAATCCTTAATCATACAAATTCTTTGTGACAAAAGAAATTTAACACAAAATGAATTTTTTTTTTGGAAAGAGAACTTCCCTAACGAGGGTTTCCTGGCCAGCTTGAAATGAACACTTAAATCAAAGGAATATTAATAATAACATGTATTTAAAAACCGACAAATAAAATAAGAGTCATTAATAGAATATTTAAACATAGGATAATATATATTTATTTTTTGAGGTTGTGTTTGGCGCGCCACAGCTAGCTGATAAGCTAGCTTAATTTTCGAGCTTATTTAAATTGTGATGTTTGGCAAATAAAAAAGTAGCTGATAAGCTAGCTTTTTAAAAAGCTACTTTGAGTAGCTTTATCTAGGAGCTTTTTAAAAATTTCCGAAATATACCCTTATTTAATTACAAAAAACGAATTCTTCTAAATGTTATTTTATGTCATTTTATATCTTTCAGCTAACTTATCAGCTAATTTTTATCAAACGTTATTTTTTGTCAGCTAGCTTATAAGCTAGCAGCAAACTTATAAGTTAGCAGCTAGCTTTTGAGCTACCAGTTAATTTTTCAGCTAGTCTGACAAACATAGCCTAAAAATAAGGCTACAAAAAGCTTTCCCATTGAAATATAGTTTTTACATTAAATTACGAATTTGGTTCATCATCTTTACTCAAATTGTAAGTCCAATCTAAATTTTAAAATTGTGCCCAATGACATCCTTAAACGTGCATTTCGTTGCTGATATTGTCATGTTTATTTTTTTAAATTGCAAGATTAATCTGAATTTTAAAGTCATTTTATACAACTCATGGACCATATATCCGGTAACTAACAAACTTAAGTACGCCGCCAAGACATTTTTAAAATTTGGCTTAAACTTGTAATTTAGCAAAACATATAAACTAAATTTATAATTTAGATTAGTTTTGAATGATAAATTTTCATAATAAATAAAATTAATAAAAAACTACATACATAAAAGAAAAGTATAATCCAAAAGTTTCTTTAACCATTTTCAATTTTAGTTTTTTACTATTGATTTTATGTAATTTAGACCTTTTAAACAATATAGTTTTTTTTTCCATCGGATTTTAGACTAGACACAATTATATATATATAGTTAAAATTAAATATTCAAAAAAAAAATCATAGGTTTAATTTTGAAAGTACAATAAATGCATTAAAAATCTGTAAAGATCGGCTGCTGGTATGCCGAGTAAAAGTTTAAATGAAATAATAATTTGATTTTATGGAAATGAGGAGGACGTTGCTGTTGACTTGGACCTCCCTTTTGAATCATTCCCACCGCCTACTCTCTCCCACACTGCATAAATCCCTTCCTACCCTTCTTCCATATTCGCACTCAGGATCTCGATTTCAATCCGCGTCCGTAGATCTAGACTCGGGAACATGAAGAACAATCACAACAGTAATCAGAATCAAATGATCTCACTCTTCAAGCTCTTCAATGCTCCATTACATCTATCCAATCTCCTTTCTCTCATCCTATTCTTCGCCTTCGGTTTATGTTTCGGTATCATTCTCACTTTCCACCTCAAAAACGTCTCCTTCAATCTCCAGTTCACACAATTTTCTCTCTCCACCACCACCAACACGGCAGCCCCGGCGGACGTTATAACCACACCACAAACAACCCCGCCGCCGCCGAAAGTTGGATTGGGAAGCTACTTGAACCCACCGGAACTGATGCACGATATGACTGATGAAGAGTTGATTTGGAGAGCATCGATGGTGCCGAAAGTTAGAGATTACCCGTTCGAGAGAATCCCGAAGGTTGCCTTCATGTTTTTGACTAGAGGTCCGGTGGTGTTGTCGCCGCTGTGGGATAAATTTTTCAAAGGGAACGAAGGTCTTTACACCATTTATGTTCATAGCTCCGATTCGGCTGCCAATGAAACGGAGCCGGAGGATTCTGTATTTCATGGCCGGCGAATTCCAAGCAAGGTAAAAAGTTGCTAAATTATCGAATTAATCTTTCGCTTTCATGGTTATACCATATACATAAAAACTTGAAATGTTCAAAACAGAATTTTTGCTTTAGGATTTCTACCATAGCCATAACAATTCGTATCATCTGAAAATTAGGATTGTTGGTTATTGACACTGATGTGAAGATTATAAATTATCAAATTTAAAATCAATGTTATACTTAAATATATATACTTGATTTTTATAAATGATTTTTTTCTACAATGGGATGATTGGAAGTTACTTAATTAGGAAGATCAACAAAATCATTTGTAATCAAATTGTCTCGAATATTTGGTTTCCTTAAAATGTAAGCATTACTTCATTTTATTTTTGGAAATTTCATATCATGATCTTTATAAAATTGTTTAAAATTTTGAGTTTTGAGACATACTTTTTATAAGTCTGAATCAATATCGTTACATTTAAAAATATAATTTTAACTCTAACGAAAAAGGATACAAATAATAACGGATGTAATTTAATCATTGAGATTATAAATAAATTTATAATAATTTATTATTAAAGAAAACAAGTGGCATAGGGTGTATGATGGAAGCATTGCCCAATACCCATAAACTTGTGTGATGTATCCAAGCTGGATTTGTATGGTGCCGTTATACTTTTTCAAAAGTTTAGTGGAATATTCTTTTTCCATTTAAAATAATATTTAATTGTTTTTTTTCTTTTCAAAATATTAAAAATAATTTGGAACATTGATTCATATGGGTTTGACATGGATATTATTCTATCATCTCGCATGTGAGTTTCATTATGAAACAAACAATTTACAACCTCTTTTTGTAAATATAATCTTTATAAGATATTGCAATCTTTTTTTATTTAAGTCCTTAAGTTTCTATAACTTTGTTTTATTCTTGTGAAATTAAATGTTACATTTATATATTTGAATTATAGGATGTGGAATGGGGAAAAGTCAATATGATCGAAGCCGAGCGTCGACTATTAGCAAATGCGCTAATGGATTTCACAAACCAACGATTCATTCTGCTATCAGAAGCTTGTATTCCCTTGTTCAACTTCTCAACAGTGTACTCTTACCTGACAAACTCAAAGCATAACTTTGTAGAGTCCTATGATTTAGAGGGGCCTGTTGGTCGTGGGCGCTATAGCCCCAATATGGCACCCGTTGTAGATATCGAGGATTGGCGAAAAGGGTCACAATGGTTTGAAATGGACCGTGAGTTGGTTATTGAAGTGATATCTGATAAGATGTATTTCTCAGTGTTCCATGACTTTTGTGATGGACAATGCTATGCAGACGAGCATTACTTGCCAACATTTGTTACTAAGCATTTCGGTGAGAAGAATTCGAATAGAACGTTGACTTTTGTTGACTGGGCGAAGGGCGGGCCCCATCCGACTAAGTACACAAGAAATGATGTAACCGAAGAGTTTTTAGAGAAATTAAGGGACGATAGGAGCTGTGAGTATAATGGAAAGAAAAACCAGATATGTCACCTCTTTGCGAGGAAATTCACGTCACATGCTTTAGATGGGTTGTTAAGAATTGCACCAAAGCTTATGCAATTCAATGACTTATAACGTTTATGACATAATTTAGTTGTCATTTTTTTGTTATTTTCTTTAAATTTGTTTATTCTTATATACATAATTGGAATTGAGTTTAGAAATTAGAGAGCTTTTCCTTTTTTGAAATTTTGTGACATATTTTGGCGTATTGAGGTCTCGGTTAATAATTAACGTATTTAAAGAAATTATAAGATAACGGTTTATATATTATTTCTAATAATTTATTCCGTTTTGATCCAGATAACTAACAAAAGATTTAACTTAAAAATAAATCATTTTTTACTTATAAATTGGAGTCAAGGAAAAGATCGGTCTTGGCCGGTAGACTAAACATTAAGTGACTTGGGTTTTTTTGTTGAACCTAGACTGGTCTGGACTAGAGGTGCGCATATAATTGTTTTGAATTGGTTTTGATTTTTAATAACTGGTTTACAATGGATTGCTTTCACTAATAATTAGGAATTTAAAGTTGAAAACGAACTGAACGTTCGGCGAACCGTTCGGCGGGAAGTTCGTTTATGTTCGTTTATTTAATAAATGAACGAACATGAACACAAATTCTCGTTCGTTTAGTTAAATGAACGAACATGAACAATAGTCTTGTTCGTTCATTTACGTTCGTGAATGTTCGTTTATTTTGTTCGTTTACGTTCGTTCGTTTAAGTTTTTTATGTTCATATATTTTCAATTGTTTTTTTAATTACATTACTATATTATAGTTCGTTTGTGTTTATATATGTTCAATTGTGCTTGTTTATCTTTGTTCGTTTATGTTCGTTTAGAATGTTCACGAACATAAACGAACGAACATGAACAAGTCAATTTGTTAAACGAACGAACATGAACAAGAAAACTCCGTTCGTGTTCGTTCAATTGTTCGGTTAACTTAAACGAATGAACATGAACAAGCTTTTGTTCGTGTTCGTTCGGTTCGTTTACAGCCCTACTTATAATCGATTTGTTTTTTTAGAAGTTAAAATGTTTTAAAAATACGGGTTTTTTGGTTAAAAAAAACCCAAATTAGTTATAGAAGAAAAACCGAAAAAAATGGTTTCAGTTATATAATAAAAGTTATTTCAAACCGGACATATTGTTTTTAACCTAATAGGTTCTAAAAAAATCGGCTCTCAAAAGAATCTATTTGGTATTTTTCTCATCCTTTCTCGAAAAGCTGGTTTGAAATGTGCGCCTCTAGTATCCACCATTTGTGCCTTCAGAATATTAACCGTTAACCAATTAATTGAAAGTTGATCGAAATTAGGCCAACTAATAATAAGATTAAGCTTGGATACCAACCTTCAGCGGAGACATTTAAAATTAAGTTTAGAATTTCTTGTAATAGCTTTAAAGAATTGCAAACACCTTACACCTATGTGTATGTAATACCCCACCATGAGAGTAAACAGCTCGAAAGTCTCGAAGAATATTCCCTACTGGCATTCGTTGCCTTGTTGGTTACAATCAAAGTACTACAAGTCATAACCCTCACAAAAGTGCAGTTTGGTATAAGCTTGATTTGGTGGATGATGTAGTTAAGTATATAAAATAATAAAAGGAAAATTATAAAAAAGTCACTATTTTTATAAAAAATTTATTTTGATTTCGAGTTATTTTTTTTTCAATTATGTCACTATATTTATAATTTTGTTGCAATATCAACCAAATAGCGGTTTTGACACCGAGTTTCAATAAAGTCACTAAGTTTATCAAATTTCGATTTTGACACCGAATTTCAAATTGCAAGAAAGTCACTATATTACCCCAAATTTCAATTTTGACATAATTTTTTTCCTCATTTATATCATTACATTTACAATTTCGTTACAATGTTAACCAATTGACCGATTTAGGAGATGTTATTGTGGTTTAGAAACTCGATTTAGAAACTCGATGTAGAAACTCGATTTGTACAACAAACAAATGAAGGCTAGTCAAACGGTTCAAACTCACATACAAGTCAGCAAAAAATGGCGTATTCACCCTTTCAGGAGATGTTATTGTGGTTTAGAAGTTCGATTTGTATAACAATTAAATGAAGACCCCTATAAGGTCGATTTAGTGGTTCAAATTCACTAAGCATCTCCTAGATCGACCTTGTAGGGGTCTTTATTTACTTGTTGTACAAATCAAACTTCTAAACCACAATAATAGCTCTTGAAATGGTGAGTACGCCTTTTTCACCGACTTTTAAGTGATTTTAAACCACTAGATTGACATTCATACGCCATTTGTGAAGAAATACTCTTATGAGAATAAAACATTAAACATTATAATAAAAAGTGTCACCTAAAAGGGTGAGTACACCATTTTCGCTGGCTTTTAAGTGACTTAGAACCACTGGATCGATCTAAAAAGATATGTGAAATTAGATTCGATGCAAATCCTATATTTGAAACTCAATCATACCACATAAAATTTTACGTGGCTTCCACATCACAATATTCTCATATCATTTATTTGGTAACCTGCTAGATTTATGGTAACTGATCAGTTAGTTTACAGGCGAGTTTGTAGGGATCTTCATTTATAAGGGTCTTATTTTATTTGTTGTACAAATAAATCGACCTTGTAGGGGTCTTAGATCGACCTTGTAGAGATCTTTATTTACTTGTTGTACACGTCGAGCTTCTAAATCATAATAACATCTCCTGAAAGGGTGATTATGCCCTTTTCAATGACTTGTATGTGAGTTTGAACCATAGGACCGAACTTCATTTAGTTGTTGTACAAATCAAGCTTCTAAACCATAATAACATCTCCTGAATCGGACAATTGATTGACATTGCAACAAAATTGTAAATGTAATGATATAATTGAGAAAAAAACTTAGTGTCAAAATTGAAAATTTGTGGTAATATAGTGACTTTCTTGCAATTTGAAACTCGGTGTGAAAATCAAAATTTTGGTAAACTTAGTGACTTTATTGCAATTCAGGAAAAGTGGTTACCGTGAGATCAGGGAGAACCGCCCATTTGATTGATATTGCAAGGAAATTATAAATATAATGACATAATTGAGAAAAAAATAACTTGGTGTCAAAATAAAAAATTTATGGTAATATAGTGACTTCTTACAATTTTCCTAATAATAAATTAATAATATAAAATTTCAATATTAAAAATACTGTTTACTAATTGTTAATTAATGAAATGAGAATTGATAATAAAAAAGTCATCTAGAACTCTTTTTTTCTTTTTTTTATGTTTTACGACAAGATCTGTCAGTCTCGCAAGGGCAGTAGTGCTTTCGAAATGATGAACTAACATTTTTGAAATATTTCTTCGGTACATCACGATGCCAACCGCCAAAATTAAACCCGATGACCATACATAATTTCTCTTGACCTAAATAAATTAATCAGTTTCCAGTTAAAATTGTAACCAGTCCTAGGATATTAGTTGATCATCCGTTCTAATCACATACACCAGTAGCCAATGGCGACACAATCCCCCCCCCCCCCAACCACGATAGGCCTGACAAGGAAAGACCATGATACGACTCGTGACATAATGGCAAGACTATGGTTGGCACATAGCAATCTTTATTGTATGTATGGTATGCAGGTATTTCGAGGAACTTACTAAGCTTTGTGCTTACGATTTCATATTTAAGGTTTCAGGTACTTCCGGTTCGAAAGGTAAGGGCCCGACGTGACTGCACAACACCCCCCAAGATTTTTCCGCATTGGCAATTAATGATATTACTCTGATGTTTAAATAATATATTCACTTTGATCGGTTTGGAACAACTCGTTTGTATGATTTATTGTTTTAAAAATGAAAATTTTATTATGAATTTTTGGGACGTTACAAGTTGGTATCAGAGTCTTGGTTTGAGGGATTTGGACACACTTCCGGGTGTGCCTGAACACAAAGTCAGGAATTGATAATAATTTTGAAAGAAAATGAATTTTCTAAAAAGATTTTAAAGAAGAAAGGGATGTGATGCGTGCATTCAGCCGAGCTCAAGTAAGTGATTCCCAGAATACCCATACATGTTTGTTATGATTATATGTTATGAGAATTGCGTGTTATATTAGAGCTAAGGATCTGCTCAGGATTTCATGCTAGGAGAGATGCATTTATATGCCTGATTGTTTGAGATTTTGGAATTGCCTGCTACTATGGATTTCAAATGATTGGATGGATTTTCCTGATATATAACGCCTCACAGCCTAGGAGGATCAGATGCTATGCTAGATTTGGAATTTGTAATTGCTAATTATATGCTTTAAAATTTGTATACGATTAAGATCATATAGCCCTAAAATGACCGATTTTGCCTTATTTCCTGTTCCTTGTCTGGTTTTGGTCCTAGGGTAGAGTCTTTTATTCGTCAGACTATTTGATCCCGTATAGTGTATAATTTGTACGCATAAGGCAACTGGCAGTGAGAATAGAAGTTCCTTGCATGGTAGTAGCAAGTGAGTTGGGATTCCCTTTGTTTTTTTCATGGCTTGGAGTGTTACTTCATGAATGCTACTTGCTTTGTGCTTTGTGGGAACCTTAGTGATATGATTTAACTATTAAGTGAATACGATAAATCACATGTTGCGAAGGTTAAATAATCTCAGAGTGATTGATTTGACCCTATTGCGCAACTCTTGTCTGAGTCCAACCGTTGTAGGGGTGAGTCTTTTAGTTAAAGGATTATCTAAGCTTTGTGGCATGTGATTGTATTCATGAGATAGTTGGTTGACATTGGTAGGAGTTCTTCAACAGCTGATGGAAGGGTGAGGAACCTAGGAGAGCCTAGGAAGTGTTTAGTGGTAACAGATGCGCTGTTTAGCGAGTACTTGGAGTAACAGTTTGAGGAGGTGACCTGGAGGATTCAAGATAATGCTTGAGGAAAGCATGGATAGGTGTGGAAGTTAGTATTGGGCTCGTACAACTGAAAGCATAGGATCCATACTTGAATCGATGAGAGTCACGGAGAACCTAGGAAGCCTATGGGTTGAGGATTCTTGGGTATGTTTCGATCATTTGTATGATTGCTTTTTAGAATGGTGATAA